TAAACATATTTTTTATCAATAACAGATGTCTACCATTTTGTATGCTGCCGAAGTTTTGGGGAGAATCCGTTGACGCGAAGAAGAACAGGGAAAGGTTAAAGGCCGGGTGAAACTCTTATGGGATTTCTTAGAGCGGATAAAATGTTGCATGGGGTCAGACTAGATGGCGCCACAGTATTTTACTTAAAATTATTTTTATTTATAAATTTAACTACTATTCCAGAAACATAAGAGAAAAGTTTTATTATTAATAGTAGTTATTGCTAATATATTTTTATAGATTGGTAAAGAAAATTATTAATTTTTGTGTTTTTTTGTACATCTAGAAATTTGACATATGTCAAAATAGTCAATAAGTGGCACAATTGTTTATATTGTTTTTCAGTGTTCTTCTGTTTTATGATGGCTCTGCTACAAGGCAATCGCCAGCTCAATTTGAGAGTGACCAAGATGTTGACTGGCTCTAAACCATATTAAGGCCACTGATATGATTAAATGTATAATGGGTAAATTTTAATATAAGTAACTTCTATGAAGGTAACCTGGGGTGACTTTGAAAATGATATTATTATTATTTATTAAATATGAAAAATGAAGTGGCTGAAAGGAAGATTATATCACAAACAAAGGCACATAGAGTAGAGGTCACACAAACAGACTGCATTCGGAAACTTTAACAAAAAGAAAATAAAAAAATAGAAAGTTGAGCATTATAATTTAATTCTATTAATTTTTCACTTGGCTTTGACAAAAGTGTAAATATTGAAAGTGGGGTAGGAAAATCCATTTCAATAATTTTTTTATATAATTCCCAATTAAACAAAAAATATAGGACATTCTAAAAAAATATAATTTAGGTCTTCAACAGAGCCACTTTTAGGTCTTCAACAGAGCTATCTTTTTTCCATAGCAACTGTTAAAATTGCCTTATATCTATCAAAAATAGTAGATAAAAGGGTACTTTAACCGCAAGGGTAGATTAAATGATACTTTAACAGCGAGGATAGGTTAAAAACTTTATTTCTTCTCGCACGTTTTTTAATAATTGCTTCCACTTTTGAAACTTTTTGTATTCCTTTTCATAAGTTATTCGGGATTTAAATGGAAGTAGTTTGAATATGGCGTTTGTCGCCTCAGCCTGAATATCTGTTGCTAATTTACTTATTTCGTTTTGAGCCATTTCTGGCTCCAATTCAATCAGCAATCGACACGAAAGAGAATTAAAAAATATTGACTCAAAACTGACAACTAAAGAGACAGCTTTATTTATTTGTTAATTTACATAGAAACCAATGCCAACCCAGCACAATATTTTTTCTACTCGTAATAAATTCCTTGAAATAATAATTTCCGAATATTTCTTAAAATGTAACTCGCTATGGAAAAAATATTGTTTTATAGATGACGAATGTATAAAAAATAACTATTAAATACCTTATAGTTAGCATCTACCTATAAATATTTCAAATATGTCGTTTTGCATATACTTTAAACTTTTGCTCACAATAACATTAGGTAATCGCTAAGAATGCTTTTATATTTGACGAGATTGACATCTTGCATTTTACAACAAAGGAGACGACGCGTGTCTGAACTACTTTTTTTTCTTCTAAACATTGCGTATGCGTCGTTCAAATACCATAAAAAATAAAGTGGAATTGCAATTCAAAGAACATTATATGTAAATATATGGCGCAATTGCATTTGAAATGTGACACTTTTGATAGACATTTTACCACCTGTAAAAATATACAGGGGGTCTCAGATTTTAATCGGGAAAATTTAATAGACGATAGAACTTGCAAAAATAAAACAAAAAGTTCATATCAACTTGTAAGATTTGAAGCTTCCTTTTCGAGATACAAGGTACCATTAGAATACCAATTATAATATTAATTACCAATTAGAATTTATTTTTTTTCGCAAGAAGTAAGCAAGATAGACAAAAAAGTCAGGAGACAAAAAAATTATATTTTTAATTACTAAATCCAAAAATAATATTAAACTTCTAAAAAAGCAGTGGCGTGCCTATTTTTTCCTTTAAAATAATTTAACAGTGATGCCCCACCGCCGCCCCTGGCCATTAAACTTAAATCTAATTACATCAAATTAAGTCCCATCGTAAGTATTATAAACGGGTCAAGTTATATCAAAATCGATTAAATAGTTTTTCAAATATGTTTTTTTATATCTTATTTTTATCAAATTTTTTTTTCTTTTTTAAGTAACTTTAACACCCTGTATCTCGAAAAGGAAGTTTTAAATCTTACAAGTTGATATGAACTTTTTGTTTTATTTTTGCAAGTTCTATCGTCTATTAAATTTTTCCGATTAAAATCTGAGACACCCTGTATATAGCTATCGCAATATTATTCAAAATTTTTATCGAATAACTTTAACAGATTTCGAGAAAACGCCGACAATTCAACCGTCAATAAACCCATCCATAATTAATTTATAAGTTTTTGTTTTTCAAAGTTTCTTATTAAAAATAGGAAACATTTTTTAGTGAAAAGAGGGATTGTAATGGTATCCTCTGTCTTTTTTCTCTCTCATCGTCTGTCGATATCTTCCCTAAGTTGTTCCACAGACTGCGAGTTTAGTTATGAATCAAACCAGTAAATCAGCCAAATCAATTAAAATTTGTTGTTAAAACTTTTTGCTAAGTCATAAAGTTTTCTTTAGCAATTAGGTATCTCAAAAATTATAAAAAATATACAGGGTTGTTCACCACATACGACACGGAGTATTGTAGCTAAACGATTAGATTTTTACAAATTGTAAGTTTTGTGTTCGTTGAAGGATTATTAGAGGTACAATTTAAAAATAATTTTATAAGATACAGAGTGTCCCAAATAAGTAAAAAATATTATAGTTATATTTTTTTTTTAATTTAACACCCTGTATATTACTCTATTTTTAGATTCTACAGTTGAAATAAAGGTACATTTGATAAGGTTTATCACACCTTACCGTTCTTGAAATATTTTAAATTTTGTGAAATTGTAGTAAAACATTTCAATTTCATCAAATTGTATTATACCATTTTTTGCCTATTTGTTCAAGCTTTCGTAGAAAATGCATTTTCTTATAATTTAGACCTCATTTATCACTATACCACTGAAATATTGACATTTTAGATTTTTTTTAAAGCAACATATACGGGTGTTTCAAAACAAATGCGAAAAACTTCAGGGGGCGATTCCTTGTTCAAAATAAAGGGTAGTTTGCTTCATAAACGTTGGGTCAAAAGTCAACCATTAGGGAGATATCGCGGTACAAAGATGGCGGAAAAATAATGTTCTTATTTTTTATCTTGAAAACGAAAAGAGATAGACTAATGAAATTTTATGGATGCATTACTGTTATGAAAATACACTTTCTGGTAATTTTTTAAAATGAGTGGAAGGGGTTGAAATAAACTACCCCTATCATTCTTGTTAACGAAATTTAAAGAAAAATCTTATCAAACACATACAAAAAAATTAATTTGGATAGTTTGGTTTGTTTAGAAACTTTTTTATCTCTCGTATTTTTTTCATAAAACTCACCGATTTGAAATTAAAAAATAAAATGTAAAGCATTACATGTCAGGACTAAAAATATTTTTAGATTAAGAATCTAGTGATAATAATGATAACAATAATAATCTAGATAATAACGTATTGCAGTAGGGTAATGTCAAATAAGACAATATTAGAAACATCCTAAAAAGTGACAGCGGCCGACTAGATTTTTTCCTAAAAAAATTACAGCTGCCCACTAGAATCTTTATATAAAAATGTTTTTTCTCCTGACATGTAATGCTTTACATTTTATTTTTTAATTTCAAATCGGTGAGTTTTATCAAAAAAACACAAGAGATAAAAAAGTTTCTAAATAAACTAAACTTTTTGCATGTGTTTGATAAGATTTTTCTTTAAATTTCATTAACATGAATGATAGGGGTAGTTTATTTATACCCCTTCCACTCATTTTAAAAAAGTGAAAAAATTACCAGAAAGTGTGTTTTCATAACAGTAATGCTTCCGTAAAATTTCATTAGTCTATCTCTTTTCGTTTTCAAGATAAAAAATAAAAACATTATTTTTCCGCCATCTTTGTACCGCGATATCTCCCTAATGGTTGACTTTTGACCCAACGTTTATAAAGCAAACTACCCTTTATTTTGAACAAGGAATCACCCCCTGAAGTTTTTCGCATTTGTTTTGAAACACCCTGTATGTACAAAATGCACTGGTGGTAAAAATAATAATATTGCAAGCCCATTTGTTTACAACAAGAAAATTATTTAAATCTTTGTAAAAGAGTATTACCAATTATTACTAATTATTAATATGCCACCATTATTTCCGCCCAAAAATTAGTTAATTACATACTTAATGTTAATTAATAAATTATTCTAAATAATTGTGGATTTGACTCAGAAATCAATACAATAATAAGTTATGAAAATGAACGTCTCTGTTGTAATAAATACGCATTTTATCCATTCGTTTAAAGCTATTAATTATTTAATATAAATTTTTAGACACTCTGTATAAGGTAGTAGTATTGTTATTATTGCAAAACAATATCTGATCAATAAATAAACTTCAGTCAATATTTAGTATTAAAAACTTCGATCCCCTTGGAGAGATAAAGCCTTAAAATTTTTACTGCAATTTCATAAAATTGAAAATATTTCAAAGACGGTAAGGTTTAAGTGTGATAAACCTCAATGAAATTTACCTTTATTTCAATCGTAGAATCTAAATATAGAATAATATACAGGGTGTTTCTTTTTAAAAAATACAACTATGATCATTTTTACTTATTTGGGACACTCTATATATGGACACTCTATTTTTAAATTGTAGCTCTAATAGTCCTTCAACGAACCCAAAACTTAATATTTGTAAAAATCTAATCGTTTAGTTACAATACTCCGTGTCGTACGTGGTGAACCTGTATATGTAATTAAATTTAACAATAATATTAAACCAAATTCAATAGATAGGATGCCTTAATAAAACTTTATTTTAACAAAATATACAAATATAATCTATTACTAATTAATCATTATAAATCTATGATTAATCATGTGAGATGAGTGATGTTGAGTGGCTGTACTTGTAAAGTTTCTTCTTCAATTCTTTGATATTGTTCTTCTAAATGAATTAATGCAGCTAGAACAGTCTGAAAGCCGGCATTTGCATCTAAGCTAACAACGTTATATTCGAAGTAACTATCCTCTCTTAAATCAAAATAATCGTCGGTTATATTGGGCCCACTCACCAGGGCACCGTATACGGTTTGCGGATTTGAATCAATTGAATAGTATTGTTCCCATCCACAAGGAGCAGGCAATTCAGGGCAGGAACTAAAATAACAAGGAAATAATTAGAAAATAGGTTTCCTTTAAATATATGAGTTATAACCTATACAGGGGGAGTCTTAAATAAGTGCAAATATTTTAAGGCTGGTAGATTAGGATAAAAGAAACATATTTTCTCTTTATCGTTTTTTCAAATAAGTCCAAAATCGAGTTATTTTACTTTGAAAATTTATAAAAAAATATTTTTTTTGGTAAAATTTTAAGAACCACTGGATCTTTTCTGGGTTTTCTTTCTTGTAAATTTAATCTACTACCGCTGTTACCATATTATCAAGAAATTATGTTTTGTGACAACTAAAAAAAATTCCGAAAATTTTTTCAAAAAACTCCGAATTTTCATTTCGAGTTCGAAATATACTACCCCTAAAAATATTTGCACTTATTTAAGACTCACACTGTATATTCTTTAACAACTTTAAAGATAAAGATTAAGATATAATATGTACTAAACAGAAAACACTTTCTAGTATTTTTTTATTTTATACATTTTGAGAAAAATGCATTTTACATAAAAAAATTTTGCTTATTCTAGAATGGCCAATCAATCCCATTATACCTTTTCAAATATAGTTTTATATCTATACTGTTTTAGAGAAAATTAAAAAAAAAAACAAGAAAATATAGTTGAAATTTTTCCTAGAAGTCCTGAAAATCAAAAATCGTTTCTGTGGTACTATAATTTCATTTTAATTCTTTAATTTTTAATTTTAATTAACGTCATGTTTTTTGTTGTTTTGAAATGTTAAAGAAGCACAACATTTATTTACAGTTATTTACTTTTGATTTTTAGCAGGGGGGTGAAATAGGAGAATTGGAAAGTCATTAGTCAAGGTCAAGGTCAAGTCAAGCAATGTTTCTGTCTAACTATTGTCTAACTTCACAGTTTAGACAGAGTAAGTAAGGCGATCTACTTACTCATGTTTAGAATTGACAGATTTGTTCCAGAACAAATTTCGACGCCATCGCCATTGTAATTCTCTCCGTTTAGTTTTGTTTTGTAAATTCAATTTGATATTTCGGCTGAAATTTATAAATATAAAGGTAATAAAGCATATAAAATATATTACAGGAAAAATCCTGGAGAAAAAGCCGTTTCTGCAGTACGAGGTATGTCCCATGTATATTAAAAATAGTTAGTAAATAAACACTCTTTCTATATTTTTTAGATGCATGAAAATTTTGTTCTATGTTTATGATCGGCGATTTTTTTTGAAAATGGAAACAGTTCACAGCAAGGTAAGATCACTTTTAACTATAGCCAACATTAGTTATCTCCAGTATGTGCGATTTATTGTCAATAATACAATAAATCTAACTGATACAATCTGATTGTTATCCGACTAAAAGTCTCTTATTGCTTCTTTTGGATTTATAAACCAGGTCTCTTTGGGAATAATGGACGCTTTTTTTAAATAGTATATTTATATTTTATACCCATTGATATTTTTACATTGTTAATTTTAGTATAAAAAAAAATTATTTTTGTGTTTTCAGGTTTTTGTATAAGGATCCCGTTTTCATGTTCCTGCCCACGTTTTCTGTCCCTGAAGTCTGTGAATACGTGTATTTATTTACAAAATACTGTAAGTCATGCTTATACCTTACGAATTTACGTTAAAACTGCATATAATTAAGTAATTGATATATAAATTATTCAATTCTTTATTTTTTAATTTATTTAGTCACATTGTCTCATATTTCAAATAAATATGTTTGTTACAGTTGAGGGTTGGAACCTTTGGTGTTATATTGTCTATGGTGTTACACAGCAAAATGAAAACTGACAGCAGATGATTATAAATTGACAGTTTATAATCATCTGCTGATGATGCTAACATGGTTAGCGAAACGCGCGTCCAGTGTAAAAGTAAAAGTGTTTTGGTGTATTGTGGTGATTTAGTGTTTTTATTTTGCTAAATAAATTTTTATTTTGTTTTATTTATGATAAGAAAAAATACAAAATACATTTAAACTGAAAGAAGGCCCGCCATTGAATAACCGGAAACGGAAATAAAAATGAAGCCATCATGTCAACCTGTCAATTGGAAAATTAGTTCTCCAGACGACAACGAAGGCTTTCGGTGGCGTATCGTGTTTCCACGATTTAACACAGAATTGACACTTCTTTCTAGTTAATTATTTTATGATTTTTAGGACTCGAATAAAATTGAACCATATTTTCAACTTTTCGACTTTTATTTTCTCCAAAACTGGAAATTTGGAAAAGTATAAACGTAATTAACCATTTTAGAACAAACAAACGTTTTTATAAACAATGCATTTTTCTCAAAATGTCGATGATTCGCATTACTTTACAGCTTTTAGAGTAATGTTTACACTTGAAAACGACCAGTGATACATCTGACCGAAAGGTTGTGTAAGTTAAAATAAATAATGACACTATGGAAGTCTGAGAAATACTTTTAGTTTCATTAGTTACCTTGCCACATGATATGGTTTTTTAGGATAATTTTCTCCGTATCCCACAACATAACTACGTCCAGTTGATCCAAGCATATAATCAACCTGACTTTTCGCGAATTCCATGTATTTTTTAAAGGAACCATTTTCGTATTTAGATGCCTGTAATTTAAATAAAATATTTAAGGAAATATTTACTTTATATAAAAGTTTCATTCAGAACCTCGAAATTAGTAGAATAAATTAGTGGAGTCAAGTTTCAATTATACTTTAAGGTAAGTAGCCAATTAGTGACCGATCGCCAATTGTTGACCGATTTTGTCTATATACTTCTTAAATAAGAATTTTAAAACATTTATAAACAATTCAACGCCTCCATTTCATTTAGACATATTTAAGGTTAATGTTTTTCACATAATTTTGATATTTACTTTTTTAAATCAGCCGCCATTGTAACAATAAACTTTTTATTTCTAATTTCTAACCACAATATCTCTTAAGTTAAATCTCTTTAACTTAGTAAAATATTTTACAGTTATAATTGGATTAGTTTCTCAGTTTCTTTGTTGAATATTTTAGTCTCTACGATGCTATAGCTCTACTTAAGCGACGCATATTCGAAAGTATCCATTTCTATACTTTGTAAACATTTTTTTTATAAATTTATAGTTATTTTCTGCGACTTTCGGATTTTCCCCGGATTTCAGAGTTCATCTGTCCGGATTTTGTCCAGATTTCTCTTCACTTGTCCGGAATTTCTAAAAGCCTTTATGGAAACCCTACATATCGCAATCAAAGGCCAAAATGACATTACTCGCAAATTTGAAATTATAATTAGTGGAAAAAGTTAAATGTTTGTTAACTTTTTCTACTGATTGAAAATTAATACCACTAATTTTGACGTTCTGAATGCTGATATTGAAACTATTTTCAATTTACCTACTCTAAAGTAGATAACATAAATTCTATACTAGACAGCTACGATTCTAAGACAGCAAAATTAAAATTTATAAGACCTGCATCAGACCAATAATGACATATGGCATAGAAATCCGAGAGGAAACAAACAAGATCAAAAGCATGTTGAGAGTCGCTGAAATGAAGAACCTAAGAACCATAATGGAGAAGACTAGAAGAGACAGAATTAGAAACAGAAATATCTGACAACAATGTGGAATACAGGACGTAGTGAGATGGGGTAGGCAAAGAAAAAGATAATGGTTCGCACACGGAAGAAGAAAACTCATGGAAGAAAACAGGCTACCACGGTAAGAGACAAGGTTATTAAAAGATAAGGTTGTCTCGTAACTCGATCCGCCATTATTGGAAACGTCATCTACTACGTCACAGGGATGCTACCGCTCATAGATAAAGGGATAAAAACTGCCGACAGTCCGACGGTGCATTTCCGAATCGATATTCATTGTGTATATGGTGTATGGCGTCCATAGTTTTTAGTTGTTTGATGTTTCTTTTCTTTATTACATTGCCCATTTATGTCTCTTTATCCATTGCATTCTATTATTTATTCTGTTTATCTATGATTTTATACGTTCTGTCTACGTCACAGTATTCCGCTTCGCTTCTATTGGTCCAAAAGTTACAAGACAACCTTACCTTTTAATAACCTTGGGTAAGAGACAACCGGGAACACCTCCAAAAAGATAGAAAGACAGTTGACAGTCCATCTCCCAAACAGAGGCAACCTTAAAATTAACAGATCGAAAGATCTCAAATATATAAAAGAAGAAGATAAATCAGTGGCGGATACAGGGGGGGGGGTGCCATGGGGCCCTGGCCCCCCGTAAAATCTGTGAATTAGGTTAAATATTAGGCTTTTGGGTTAAAAATGGCACCCTAAAAGGCATATTTGGCATTATTTTTTATTTGGCCCCCCCCCTAAAATAAATTTCTATATCCGCCCCTGAGATAAATTATATAACTATTGTATTACTAATTAATAATAATATATTATAACTATACTAATAAAAACCACTAATTTCGAGGTTCTTAATTAAGCTTAAGTACATATTTTTCTTAAATTAAATATAGCAAATGCATATACAGCAAATCTCCGTAGGATTTCCGTAAGAGACAAATTATAATAATAAATAGAACAATTGACAAAAAACGTTAAATAAGAGACCACTGGTTGTTTGCGGCGCGGCGTGCTGTATCGCATTTGGTATATTTAATCTATGGCAATGTATATACAGTTGTTTAGATATGCATCCCTCAAGAGAGTGAAATAAGGGTTGAAAATCTAAACAAAATTTGTTAAAATTGATTTTAGAAATATGAAATTCCGGGTAGGCGTTCCTTATGTGACATGACATAATGAAGCGATGAAGCTCTATGAAGCAATTTTTGGAAATTCACAAAGGGCGGTTTTGAGAAATTCTTTAGGAGACCTTTAAGGGGGTGACTTTATAAAGGTTGTTAATTTGTTTATTACTCGCGGCAAGAGCTTTATGGTTGAAATATGGCAACTTCGGCCCGCTCGTCGATAGACGATGCGACGGGACGGGTCGGCAGAAAACCCTATAAGTGCATGCGTTCTCAATAGGCAGTGTTGCCATTCTGTTCCTCTATAAGTAACTCTCCAGTTAACAACCTGTATAAGGTAAATGTAGTATAAAACAACCTGTCCTAGTTCTAACTTTTGCACAAAGATCCCTTAAGTAGCGTAATTAAACACTTAGTAGCGATTTTCAGAAATTGTTGTCCTAAGGGGATGAAAGTGGAGGAGAAATTTTGTATTTGACATTTTTTAAAATTAGTTCTAGGTGTGTGATATTTTGTACAGAGGTTTCTTAAAAGCTAGTACTCAGAAAAAAATTTGGCATTGTATTTCTTACTTCAAGGCATATAAGGGATGTGGTTGCAGCTAAAGGAAGGACACCGTATTTCTTTTTAAAAATCAGTCCTTTCGGTGTTCGCAAACCGATATCTATTGAATAGTCGCAAAAATCCGTAACTGCCTTCAAATAGGATTCATCATTTGTAATCTCTCGTAGCAAAAGCTAAAAAAAATTAAAAAAGTATGAAATATTTAGCAAACAGGGACAAATATTTAAATAAATAAAAATAAAAAAAAACAAATAAAAAATATACAGGGTTGCTGATATGTAAGGGATCGCTCAATTATTAGGTAAAATATAAGAGGCAAAAAAAGTTAAATATAAAAGTTCTGGGGTTTTTAAATACCTATTAGCGGGTTATAAATTTAAGTATACAGGGTCATTCATAAAGTCGTGGCCGATCAAAGTTACATTTTTTAAACGGAATCCCTTGTATATTATTGCATATATCGGTTCCTCCTTCAATTCTAAGCAAAAATCGAAATACACACAATGTACCTCAAACCAACGGTTTCCGAGTTATTGACTTTTGAAAATATCACTTAATCAATTCGATCTAATTAATTTCGATGTGTTCGCCATTCTGCGGAAACTGTGATACTTAATAATATTTGACATCAGTTCTCAAGTTAGCATTTATAGATGTATAAAATGAGATTGTATTTGGAAATTACAAAATTTTTGTTTAACATTTCAAAATTAAAACTTCATAATTCGGAAATAGTTGAATTTGCATACATTTTGTGTATTATGATTATGTACCTATGAATATAAATTAAAAATGAAACTTTGATGTGCCAGGACTTGACGACCGACCCTGTATACTTAAATTTATTACCCGTTAATAGATATTTAATAACCATATAACTTTTATATTTAGCTTTTTGCGGTACCTCTTATATTTTACCTAATAATCAACCGTTGCCTTACAAATCAGCCACCCTGTATAATAATATATTATATATAAATAAATTATATTATAAATTAAAATGAATTAAATTATAATTAAAATATATTATATTATAAATTTATAATATAAATAAAATCAATAATAAAAGATGTTATATTAATAAAATTTTAAATCTTATAACAATACATGTGTAGTTATTGTGAAATATATAATTTAGATAAATATATAACATATTATCATATACTGAGTAATTATAATAATATGAGAGCGGCATGTAAGTTGTAACATCAATGGTATTTATAGAGTACTTTGAAATAATTCACACAACGTGGGTCTTATGGTTACTCAATTTATAATAGAAATAATTTTGAATAATTACTTATTTAATCAAACAAAATTAATCACTATTTTATAACATAATCAATCACTTTACTTTATTGTTTACAATCTCAAGTTATTTGGTAATTTGGTTTGGTTTGAACAACGAATCAACATAATAATAGCTAACAATTAACAATTTAAATTAGAGTATCTTTGGTATTACGATAACAAAGTTCTACACTGCAACAATTTTATATTATAAGTGTTCTATAAAAGTTTGCGTTTTTTCAAAATCTATATACCCACTCTGATGCCAAGTGTATGATCGTTGAAATAAAAATAATGGGATGTCAAATTCTGGAGTCCATAATCATAGTACCACAGCTCAGCATCTCGTATGTATTGTGTATTATTTGTGGCTCTATATAACCATAGGGCAGACCATATTAGATTATCACCATAAAAATATATTCTGCAATAATAAAAAAAAATAAACTGAGTATAATATTTTAATAAATCCTATATCTAATAATAAGTTAAAAAAACGGTTTTTTTTAAAAAAAAAGGAGGAACTACAAAAATATATTGTTAGAATTAGTTTTCATATTAATAACACTTAGAAACAACTATTTATGAGTATTTTGTTTATTTTTAAAGAAGCCAAAGCAAGAGTATATTATAATAATATATCAAACAACCCCAGAGTCCCAGATTTCCCAACTGCCAGTAGAGTAGTGTAAGACAAGGAGACGCGATATCCCCAAAGCTGTTTACAGCAATACTAGAAGAAATCTTCCGTCAACTGAACTGGACCAACAAAGGAATAAAAATAGATGGAGAATATCTTATAACCATCTTAAGATTTGCTGATGACATAGTCCCAAATGCCTTAAAGAACTACAAGCACAAATTAATGAAGTAAATACAGTCAGCAATAAAGTAGGTCTCATAATGAATTTAGCAAAAACTAAAGTAATGTACAAACTGATAGACAGAAAAGACATTCTGATAAATAACGCAACACTGGAAATAGTAGAAGAATATATACTTTGGGACAACTAATACACAGCTGGGGGTCTCTATTACCAGAAATCAACAGAAGAATTAAGTTAGCATGGAGTACTTATGGAAGAAACTCAATCATATTCAAATCTAGAATGCCACTCTATTTAAAGAGGAAAACATTTAACCAATATGTACTACCAGTCATGACCTATGCATATGCACAACCTAACCTGGACACTTAAAACGGTCATTATAAGGAAACTGCGGGTCACACAACGCTCAATGGAACGAAATATGCTGGGAATAATCAAGAAAGGCCGTAAAAGAATAGAGTGGATACAACAAAAGACCCAGGTAATAGATGTCATCCACAGAATCCCTCAAGTGGCAATGAGCAGAAAACCTGGCAAGAACGACGGTCAACAGGTGAGCCACAAAAATTACAGCATAGTCCTCCTCCTTCCTATTACTCTATAAGAGTATGGTGACATTATGATATCGCATTTATTGTGTCTCTCCATGTTGTTCTGTCTTGCGCAGCAGTACTGGCCTCCTGCAGACTATAACCTATTATCGTCTTCATTTGGTCCACCCAACGGTTTGGAGATCTCCCTCTAGGACGTTTCCCGTTCACGTTCCCCTCAACAATTAGTTTTTCTAGGTGTTCCTGGATATGTGGCCAAAGTATCTTAAGTATGATTGATTTATTGATATCGATAGTCTGGATTCGATATTCAGTTGTTCGAGTATTGAAATGTTTGTACGGTGATCTTGTAATACAGCATAGTACCCACGATAAATTAAGGGACCTAGAAGAAGACCAAACGTAAAATGGGACCAGAATATTATATAGAAAATTAGCAAGGATAAATTGGGTCCGCATAGCCAACAATAGACAACAATGGGCCCAACTACAAAAGGAGTATCTAAATATGTGAGGGAGGCTACTCCATAATTGGAAATGGTTGCATAAGCTGAAAATGATGATGATTATGTTTATACAGGGTGGCGCACCTCATTCGCCTCGGTTGATTATACGAAAACGGAAAGATGTAGAAACAAAATATTTTATGGGTATATGTGGGGAGGAAATGTGCACAATTTAAAATTATTTTGAAATATACAGGGTGTCTCAGAACTAAGATCCATACCAAAGTTATATTTTTTCTTATGGAACACCCGGTATTTTATTTCATTTTTTGGATTCTTGGGCCCAAAAAAGGCATTTATTATAAGGGTTAAATATGTTTAACGTCTTTGGTTTTTGGGATATTTAAAAATATTTAAATATGCATGCTACAAAAGAATTGATTATTAACACCCTGTACATTACTTTTCAGAGTTAATTCTTGTGTTGAGTTTAAAGGTGAAGAAATAAACTTTACTGAAAAATGCTATTTCTTCCTTAAATTTATACAGGGGCACCAAAAATTGGTGATCTATTTTAAGGATTTATTTTACATAAAAACTTTGTTATTTCAAATGCAATACCCTGTATTTTTTTAAATAAATCGAAGCAGATTTTAATGCTCTTTCAAACTATAATAGGGTTTCCTATACCTATCTATCTCAGATTTTGAATAAAAAGCGATTTTTAAATAAAATGGGAATGAAGATGGCTGGTACCGCCATATCAATTTTCTAGTGACAGTTAGTCACTATTATCAGAATTAAAATGCATTGCCTCTCCACATATACTCAAAAAATAATTTGTTTCTACATCTTTCCGTTTTCGTATAATCAACCGAGGCGAATGAGGAGCGCCACCCTGTATATATTTACATTTTATTTTTAGATAAATATAAGTTTAAATCTTACTCATAGTAAAATTGCTTTGCTCCAGGAACAGCATCCTTCGAAAGACCTCTGTAATCCTTCGCAAAATTGTACATATTTATTGAGTGATTTAGCAGTTCTTCAGTGTACGTCTTGTTAATGTTTTCAAAAACTATACTAGCGGATGACAGAGCAGCTGAAACTTCTGCAGCTAGATCAGTACCTACAAAAAGAAAACCTTCAGACTCTAGTTACAAAAGGGTAAACAGTTAAATTAATTATATAGTACGGATTAGAATTATAAAAGTTGACATCAAGGGTTAAGTCTAATAACTGTATTTACTTTTACCAATGACTAAAGAATATAAGGACATGTAACGCCCATATACGGGCTGCAGCAGAATTTGTGACCTTAGAGGCCATTCTTTTGATGGCAAACAATGAGTCATCATTTGGTCACCAACGACAATTTTAGCGATTTTTAATAGTTTGTGTGTAATGCACTTTGTATAAACTTTATTACAATGGTGATTACTTGTTCAGCTTTCAAGTGTAAAAGCAGCAGCGATAAGAAAGAGCCAGGAGTTACCTTTCATAGGTAAATGTTTCACTCCAACTTTTTAGAGTTTTCTTTATGAATTCGATAATTATTCTTCAATTTCAATTAACATCTATATGTACTTGATATGTGCTATACGTCTCGATACTAGTTTTGTACCTTTTGTTAATAATAATAATAATAATAATAATAGCCTTTATTTCCAACAGGCAATTAGAGCCCACTTACAGGAAATACAATCTAAACAATAGGTTGTTACTAAACATTAAATATCAAATTTACAAAAACCAAGAAAAAAAATACAAAAAGAGAAAACTAAACCTAAATCTAAACCTAAATGAATCAGGCGTAGTCAAAACAATTACCAAAAAATATAAATATTGCTTCAAACAGCTAGGTTAAGAAAAATATGTGCCACGGCACTGTTTGGTAACATCGGCACAATTTGCTCTCGGGTGTAATTTGTCCTTGGATTCTTTAGTCATTGACTTTTACATATATACCATGTGATAACACATAACATGTCATAGAAACAAATGAAGAATATGTGTTGACGTGCAATAAATGGGATAAAATCACAACATATTGAAGAGTACATAATGAAAGAAAACAGTTTGTTGAAAATTCATACAAACTTTAATCATTCCTTAATTTTGTTTTGTATTAATTCCATAATGATTTCTCTTAATATGTCTTGTTTCCTAACCACTACTTAATTTTATTACCACTTTTAATTTTAAGCTTAATTTTAAGTTAAATTTGAAGCTGACATCACCGCAATGGAAATCAATCAGAAGAATATACCTACATTAAATAATGCAAAACATTGAATACTCTCAGGATGCTATTATAATTTATTTTTAGTGTAATCAATGCTGTATATATAAATATGTAATACAATATCAAAATCTAAATTTAAATTTAACTTTTACCTGGGTTAGTTTCATTAATTTTATATGCTGGACGACTTATATTCATTTCTTCAGGTCTTCCCCAATATTTGTGGTCCGTTTTGAAATCGCCAACTTGACCATAGAGCTCGTTGGGTGATACATGGCATTTCATAAAGTAATCTGTACCATGCTTTATAATATCTAATACTGATTCGTATTCCCCTAAAATTAAAATGCGTTATTTAACTTTTTGGCTTTGGTTTGGTTTGGTAACGTGGCAACACCGTGAGGACTGCGCCACAGCTCGGTCTATGGCCACTGGTAAATAGCAAAAAGACAAAACAACTACTTGAACACAAAAAGAACCTAGTACGCATAATTGTAGGTGTCGTCACTAGAAACTGTCTTACGGGGGTAAAACTCGTGAGATGGAAAATTTCCAACGACGACTACTGCAGAGAATGCGGAGAGCAAGAAGAAACCATAGAGCACCTGCTGTGCCACTGTCCGGCAATGAAATACCGACGCTTTAAAACTTTAGGGCAAGGTTTTTTAGAGGAAGCAGCAGAAGCCAACATCAGCAACATCGAGAACTTTGCGAAGAGCTGGAAGTGCTTTAACGCAAAGAAAGAATGAGAGGAAGGTTTGGTACAACAATAACAGGGGTTCGCAATGGGCCCAAGGCCTCCGAGTGAGGGATGAAACATGATACTAAACCCCAGCAACCTAACCTAACCTAACCTAACTTTTTGGCTAAATTTTGCATTTAAGTTTTTACTAAAGATTTATTTAAATATATTCTCTTGTTATAATACTTATTTAATGTAAAATGTAAAAAAATATAATGCCAACCAACCAGAAACCAGCTTGTTAGTGGCTTTTTACTCTTTATATTAAACAAATTTGCCTAACAAACACAAAATCTTTAGAAGGTTTATCTCCCTCCATTATCATAGTGAATTCGTAATTGAGTACCAAGGGGCGATTTTTGTAAATTCGCCCTCTAAGGGGGTGAAATGAGGTGAATATGTTGTAGACAAAAAAAAATAAAGTCTGTTCTAGCAGCATAAAATTTTGTACAGAGGTCTCTAATGTGAAGTAATTGAACAGTTAGAAGATATTTTATAACACCGGTGTTGGGCTGACGCTGGTGGCCAAATATGGCCTATCCGGTATCGACACCGACATAAAGTAAAAAATTGTTTAATCAAAAACAAACAAAAAACAAAACATAAGAAAACAAAAATTCGTAGCTGTTTCTTTTTGCAAAATAAAGTAAAAAATATTGCAATAAAAAAATCTAAAGAAACAAACAAACGGGACCATAGACATCGACACTGCCACAAGTGTTGATCTCAACACCGGTGTTCATCGCGATGCCGGTGTTGAGATAAACACGGGTGTTGTAGATGAACACCGGTGCTGTAATAAACAACGGTGTCAGTGTTGACACCGGTACACCGACTGAAACACCGGTGGTCATCAACACCAAACACCGGTGTTTAAAACTCAACACCGAACAGGTCTATTAAAAATGAACATCGATGAAATTTTCCATATAATTTAACATATAAAATGACGATGATCATCATTTCATAGCCCTTGCTGACGCCGTTTTTTTTTTCGATCATACTGTATGTCAAAAACATTTAGAAAAAAATCAGCTTTTCCAAACCACACAAATTCTTGTAAACAATATGTGATATCGAATTTTATAATAACTAAATATGTCTATAACTAAATCATATTCACAGATCATATTGTAGCTTTCCCTGGGCCGTATTATAAATTTGCAAATAATATTTAAATGCCCATGAAATTTCCTATGCCCCGTGTTCCGATGCACCACACGGTATAACAAATTAAAAAAAAATAGTACAAAATATTACATACCTATCGACTTATAAACGTCAGGATATAAAATCACACCCCAGGATAAAACAGTAATTGAATAGGCAAGTGGAAAACTAAACTTAACAAAATCTGGACCTGTAAAATACAAATATTTATTTTGATTTATGTCACTGTAAATGTGCGAAATGGGGTAAAACCTAGGATAAGCGCGCTAAATCTAGGATTTACCAAAAGCATTAACTGATTAGGTTAGCCTGGTTATTTGGAGGGTGTTAATGCATTGGTTAGCCTGGTTATTTGGAGGGTGTTAATGCATTGGTTAGTTTGGTTATTTGGGGGTTGTTAATGCATTGGTTAGGTGGTTATTTGGTGGGGTTGGTTGGTTTTTACTAGTGTTGCACAAGAGTCTTGAAAAAGTCTTGCAAGAAATTCAAGACAAGACTTTCAAAAAAAGACTTTAAAATATATAATATATAAGAAATTTCAAGAGCCTTGCAAGATATCTTGAATTCAAGATTTAGTTAAAAAAATTTTGTTTCAAAGTTAGAAATGATACTTTTTTTAAGTGATTATTAGGTCTTTGCGCAAGTTATGCCGGGTTTATACAACGTTTACATAGTCGTAATCACAATCATAGTCATAATCATAAAAGTTAAACTATCCTCTTCTTATAAACCTGTTGACATCTACCATGAACTTAGCCTTTAATTATATTACCCAACTTCGCTGATATAAAAATTTTGATTATGAAAATATTCTATAAACGCACATTAAAATTGCGTTGTGATTATGACGATGATTAAGACTGTGGTTATGATTACGACTTGTAAATGTTGTATAAACCCGGCATTAATATTGACCAGTGTTCTTTTTTTTTCTATCATAGCCAGTGTTTTAAAGTTGAGAATGAAATAAAATAAAGTTGAGGCAACAAACCGTATATTGGTAATTGGTATTATACACAAAATTATATTGGTATAATGATATAAAAAAAACTAACGGTACCTAGTTGAAACTAATGGTGGGTTCGTGGAGCATGCTATATGCGCTATTTGGTACTACTTTTCATGTACGAAATAGCTCCGCGAACAAAAAGTAGTATCACATAACGCAAATAGTACACTCTAGCATGCCCTTTCCGTACACCCTGTGTCCAAACTTTTCCAATCAATCTTCCATAATAAAAAAAATAAATACCATAAAAAATAAAAGTAACAAACGTAGAACATAATAAACTTACAAGAATTAACAACTAGAACTAAAAAATAAACTTATGGAAATTCATCCATCGAGCAATTCAAACAAAGAGAAAGAATTTAGCCGGTTTCTGTGTTTCCTTATTGCCAGTGCTGCTATCGAAAAGAGCCTTTCTGCAGGAACAGAAGTAGCCGGTGTACAAAAAAAATCGATATAATAACCCAAAACGGTTTTAGGTTTTGGCAAAACCCATAAATCGAACTTAACCTTACTTATTCTTCTATTCTTATTCAGCTTTTATTTGGTAACGGCTCCTGTTTCGTCAAACGGGGGGCGAGTTCTTTTGCGGTCCGTTAAGATTTTTTTTGCTAAAATTAGCATCGTTGTTCTTTTTTTGTGTTACATTTTGTATACGACGCTTTCTATGAAATAAAATATAGAAATATTACATATTACCTTTCTGTTAGAATGTAAAATTTTTCAAGACAAGAAATTTCAAGAGTCTTGCAAGACAAGACAAGACTTTGCCATTCAAGAAATCTGCAAAACAAGACTGAAAATTTCTTGTCTTGCATTTCAAGACAAGACAAGAAATTGATTTTCAAGACAAGAATTCTTGTCTTGTGCAACACTAGTTTTTACTACCACTTGCTTATTCGTACTTTTACCAATGCGATGTGGTAAATCCTAAGATTTACTGTTTGGTTCCGGTAAAAGTCCGAAATGGAAGCAAAATATATAGTTTTCGGGCTTTTAGCACATGTTTTTGGTAAATCCTTGGTTTAGCGCGCTTATCCTAGGTTTTACCGCATTTCTGACATTTACAGTAACATTTACAAATTTTAAATGTATATTAATAATTTACCATCATAATATCCTCCAGATAAGTCTTCTCCATTATCACCACTATCGTTTAAACCCGAATCTCCCCTCCATGGTATCCTATTGTTAGAAGGCAACTTTCCAGATTTTTGTGCTTCGAAAAACAGTACTGAATACTTTAAAGCTAATTTGTAGTCAGGAACAAAATTTTCACAATTGCATATGGCAAGCTTTAAGACAATAGTTAACACAGTCAAATAGTATCGCATCTGTAAAAGAAATATATATTGCTTATAAAGAAAACTCAAAATAATCACTGTAGTTTTTTGTCAATTTTTAACAACTTACTGTGGGAATGCTGCGAAATACTAAAAGTGATTTAAATATCTACAATTGTTTTATTGAATTTAGAAATGAACAAGTTTTTTTTCGTCAAACTTTAGTATTCCGATCAGATCAATCAGTAATGCATATGTATTTTCTTAAATTGTACAACCTTGACTAGTATCGTTGATTCTCAGTAGATTCGTTAAAATATGTAACTATATGTACATACTGATGTGAAACTATCTTTTATTTAATTAAATGACAAGGCTAACTAGGAAATATAACTTTTTTAATTGAAAAACTCTTCTCTAACGCTACGCTCTAGCAGAGAAATATCTTTTTTGTTTTCCGTTTTGTTTAATTCTTGTTATATCGTCATTTTTTTACAGTAATTTTTATTCACAGGGGTTGAAAATTATTGAATCACTAATAACGCTATTAAAAAATAGGAGTTGATGGTAGAAAATTTAGGGTTGTATGTATTTTTTAATGCCACATTATAAAAAAAAATAAATAGATAAATTTTGTCCAAAAAATAAAAAAAGAGAATTTGGGGTGTACCGCCCTTATCAGTTAGGGGTATAAAAATAGATAACAACCTATTCTCAGACATACTGAATCTATACCAATATATAAAATCCTTAGATGACTGACATACTGATTAATCACGATCCTGCTCAAACCACTCAACGTAAGAAGCTCAATTTTGGCATACAGGTTGATTCTAGGGTGTAGAGGTTCGATAAGAAGGGATTTTTCGAAATTCCAGTTCCAAGAGGGTGAAACCATCCCTCAAATATTACAATATTTTTTATTTAAATAACGGTCAAGTTTCCGAAAAAAAACGCTTAAACACGTATATTTTATTTTGTTTTTTTACATATTTTAAGATTTTTTAAAAATGTATACAGGGTGTTTCGAAAAATCTGGTCATTGATTAATCACGATCCTGCTTAAAGCACTTGGCGTAAAAAGCTGATTTTTGGAAAACAAATTGACTTTAGGGTGTAGAGGTTCGATAAGAAAGGATTTTTTGAAATTCGAATTTTAAGGTGGTGAAACTATCCCTCAAATATTAATATATTTTTTATTTAAAAACCGGTGAGTTTTTCGGAAAAACTCTTAAACACGTATATTTTATTTTGTTGTTTTACATATTTTAAGATTTTTTATAAATTTACACAGGGTGTTTCATAAAATATGACCATTGAGTAATCACGATTCTGCTTAAACTGCTTGACGTTTAAAGCTGATTTTTGGCAAACGGATTGACTGTGGGGTGTAGAGGTTCTATAAGGAGGGGTTTCTCGAATCTCAAATTCCAAGAGGGTGAAAACGCCCCTCAAATATTACAATATTTGTTATTTAAAAAACGATTAGTCTTTCTGGAAAACGCTTGGACAAGCATAATTTATTTGGTTTGGTTTTTTTACATATTTTGAATTTTTTTAAAAAATCATACAGGGTGTTTCAAAAAGTTGGGTAATTTCTTAACCACGATTCTGCTTAAACTGGTTGACGTAAAAAGCTTATTTTTGGCAAACGGATTTTTCGAAAGTCAAATTCCAACGAGATGAAACTATCCCTCAAATATTACCAAGTTATATAATAATATCGCCGTATTGTTTTTTCTCATGCTGACATAAATGTGAGAAAATTTAATCCAGTTTGTATGTTAATGGAAATTCTTGCTTTGCTTTATCATCACCATTACAAATGATTAATTCGACGCGAACGAAGTCGCTGGTACACGCTAGTATACATATAAAATTTCTTCAAAATCGGTCAAGTTGTTTCAGAGGATGTAACTAAAACTGTGACTTTGTTTTATATTACGATGACTTGCAGATATATTGGATTTTCTATAAAAGAACCAAATTAAGGTAAATTAATTCCAACGACATGTCTCTGTCTAATAGGTTTTTCATATACCACACTATCAGCTCTGCGAAATAGGAAAGTAGTTTTTCAAAGGAACGCTTATTAGAAAGATTCCTATTTGGATATCTTTGGGCATAAGCCTTTTAGGCTAACAAGACCAATTGTCCTCACAAATTAAAATAACTAGTAACATATACATTCCTTCCTCCAGCAGATACTGCTTCATTTTTCTTGATAAAATAATAAACACTTAGTTATTAATATTAATGTAGGTAAATTAAATAAAAATAACCTCTTATAAATTTAAATAAAGTCCATAAATTAATGTCGATTTTAAAAATAGCTACTAAGTGTCACTAGAAAATTGCCATGGCGACACCAGCCATCTTGATTATAGTTTTATTGAAAAATCGCTTTTTATTCAAAATCTGAGCCAGATAGGTATAGGAAACCCTAATATAGTTTGAAAGACCATTTAAATCTGCTGCGACTTATTTAAAAAAATACATGTGCATGCAGTGTTGCATTTTAAATACCGAAGTTTTTATGTAAAATAAATAGTTAAAATAGAGCAGCAATTTTTGATACCCCTGTATACATTTAAAAGGATTTAAGGAAGCAATCAATTTTTTTAGTAAAGTTTATTTCTCTGGCTTGAAAGTCAGCAACAGAATTAATTCTGAAAAGTAATGTACAAGGTGTTGACAAACCTTTTTATTATAGCATGCATATTTAAATATCTGTAAATATCTCAAAAACCAAAGCTTTTAGACATATTAAACCCTTATAATAAATGCCTTATTTTATGCCCAAGAATCCAAAAATGAAATAAAATACCGTTTACTACTTCTTTCGGTTTTCGTATAATCAACCGAGGTGAATGGGGTGCGCCGCCCTGTATATAGTAGTAGAAAATATTAATATTTTTTAAAAAAATATTAATATTTTCCATTTGATTTAGTATCCTTAAATAATTATTCGCTAAGATAACTCTGTATAATTATAATCTTTCTTTTAATTACAGAATAAAATGGAATGTGTTAAATATGATATAAGTGTTTCCATAGACTTAAAAATAAAATATAGACTACACTATTTACATTTCAACGCGGACAAACAACCTTTTTTGTACACATGTTTACTTCTGGGTACAGTCGACCGAGCCTTCCTCATCCAGCCTATGTTGTCACGTCTTTAATATTATCAATATTTTTTTTCTTGTTATACACATTTATTGAGATATTAATACTACAGTTTAATAAAGTAGGTTTTAATATTCCATAGATGTATTAAATAGTCCTTATACTACTAGATTATAAGTCGGATACTGTTTAATAAGGATAAGTTCTTTACAATATGACAACACCGATTAGAGGCGAGGAAGCCTATTCATTCATTTATTACCTTGTAGAACGTGTCGCACGTGTGCGGTAAAGCTTTGTTGCCGCTATCTCCCCGGCTATATTAACGCATTTTCTTAGCTTGTAGTCCTTAAGTGTTTATTTTATTGACTTTTTCTGTTCAAAAACTATAAAATATGGTTCGCCAGTGCCAAATTTGCAAGAAATTTGACATAAATAATCCATTTAAGTCTTGAAACGACTTTTTGACCGGTAGGCAACTCTCAATTTACCCATTGGGAGTCAGTGGCGTTGTTGTAGAAAGGCGCTTATTTAGATAATATTTTAGTAAAATGTAAAATCTGAATTTTTTCTCTTATATTACATTATTTACTTACTTACATTGTAACAAAATCATAATTATAACCCTGTTAATAATTAATAATGTTTTTATTAAAAATATATTCCGGTTTATTCTAAAATTATCTTCAGAATCTAAAATAACATACAAGAATTTTAATATGATATTACATTATGAGACAATATTTTTTAATATACCGGGTCGTCTCAAAAGTGGTTCACCGCTATAACTTTTTTATTTTTTCAGATAAAAAAACAGATTTGTATGTTAGTAGGTATATGACATAAATTAGGATTTATTGACGTATTCAATTGTTTTTGGTCTCTTTCTGTTTCACCGAAATGATTACATCTTTTGATTTTTAAAGGCACCCTCGGTATATTTCTACTTTATTCGATAGAAAATGATAATAGAATTCTGAATAGAATGACATATCATATGTCAACTTTTGACATTGTCGCTTAAAAACAAATCGTATTATAAATTTCAATCCAGGGTGCCATGGTGTTGTTAAAAACACTAAGTTTTAATCAAGGAGCCTTGGAAAAATAGTTTTGATCGTCTAATGGGTTTCGTGTCTTGTCTAGGCCGATTAAAAGATGTACAAATCATATTTTTAATCATACATATGTCAATTTTTTCAAATGGAACAAGGGTGACTCGTTAGCATATTTGGAAAAAGCATTTTTTTATGAATATATTGATACCACACACTTGGTATTTCGAGTCAAATTGTCGTTATGAACCACGTGTTACAATTACAATTAAACCATATGCGAAAGTGTCAAAAGTTGACATATGATATGTCATTCTATTCAGAGTGTCATTTTCTATCAAATAAAGTAGAAATATACCGAGGGTGCCGTTTAAAAATTAAAAGTTATAGTCATTTCCGGTGAAACAGAAAGTGACCAAAAACAATTGAATGCGTCAATCAATCCTAATTTATGTCATATACTAACATACTAAATCTTGTTTTTTTATTTGAAAATATAAAAAAATTATGGGGTTGAGCCACTTTTGGGAAGCACCCGGTATAATAAAGACAGTACCGAGTTAAATAAATGTAGTTTTCATTTTATCCACTTCCTATCACCTTCCTTGCTTTAATGGAACAGATTTATGTTTTCTCTAATTTACATAAGACATCACTTAACCAGAAAAAAATTACAACAATCATTTTTTTTTCTCTCCCTGTCGCCGATTCTATTATATCTGTGGAATAGATCCTGTTTTGATTAATATTAGGGGTTGTAAATGTTTGACTAAAATTAATAATTTATTATTAATTTCAAAAATTACGTAATTTCGATTATAAAATTTCTTCTATAACGTGTATTTTATTATTTTTATCCTTTTT